ACTCGACTCAACGTTCCGTACATCAGCCTCTCCACCAGAGGTTGATCCGGTGTGTATCCACACCGCCCATCCGTAAGGGAACTTGCTCACACGCGAACCTGGAGACAACAGTCTCATAGATTGGTTGTTTCCAATGGATACAACCAACCACCATGGCTACTGGTCCTCCTGTGGGAAATATCACACAGAATAATAGTTGAAGAAAATGTCCCAAGTTCCAGAACAGATAAGACATGGCAACTGTTAGGAACGACAGAATAAATCAATCGTTAAATTTCCGGGCCGAAGTTCGGTTTCGGTTGCTAGTTGTTGTTGTCTTCACATCAAACCGTATGTGAGTTGCTAAATGCCAAAATCTAGCAAAAGGCTCTCAGTCCGTGGTCACGAAAGTGCTAAAGCCATCTGAGGATCTACAGAACACGCACACATATACCGAGAAAAAGGTGCTAGTACGGCAGGGTAATTGAGTATAACTCTGTGTCGTAGCAGAACGCGACTTGGATCATGGAACCTCCTTTAGGCGCCTTCGTCGTCGTTTCCTGGTTTTTTTCAATGGCTCGCCAGTGGCTCCATCTCTTCGTCGACGCCAATGAGGTTACTAGTCTGTCGGAGACAGAAGCCAGTATTCTTGCAATATTCTCCCACTGCCAAGGGTGGCTATTTCCTTTCGTGAGATGTAAACGAGGAGAAGAGGGTAGAAAGAGAGAGAGAGTGGCCAAAGAGAGAAGAAGGAGAAGAGAGTCGAAGACTCTCCGCTCTTCTCTCGGTGAGTGGCCAGAGACTTCGGAAGAGACAAATCTCCGACGGTGCGTTTCTTGTCAATCTCCCAGTGACAAGATGCCCCGATGGAGCTATATCTTCCTACACTTTGCATTTTTACACAAGGTTGGTTATACTCCCGACAGGTGTCCTCCACACCAAAAATGAAAGAACAAAAAAATGCACCGGGTGTTCTTCCCTGTTGTTGTCTCAGCTATACATGTATTCGAATACACGTTGTTCCTTCCAAAGGCAGCCTTCAAATCCGAGTTGTTGCTGCGCCATTGCCGACTTTCCCAGGAATAATAATGCAACGTTTTCGAGAACATACAGCTCAGAACACACAACCTTCGGCGCATTTCTCAGCAAGAAATTTCAACATGATGAGAGTTGATGTGTTGAACCTCTTTGCCCGCCGCAAGCTCTCTCGGTGTTGCCGCGCAGGTGGGCTTCATCAAGCAGAGTTCGATCCAAGGGGATCGAAGGAAAGCATGTAGACTACTACTGTAGTCTACACAACCAATCGACTACCGCACCTCAGCAGCGGTCAGTTCAAGCACGGTGTCCGTCGTGATCGTGGAAGGCCAGTCGGAGCAGCTGCCAACGGTAGCAGTCTGGGCGGCACTCCCACCGAGTAAAAGAAGTGCCGCCAATGATGTAATCTTCATCATCATCTGTCGCGGCGGTTTTCGGGTGGACGTGTGAGGCAGCGACAGGCGGACAAGACAAGTAGTGTAACGAGTCGTTCGCACGTAAGGGTAGAGGTCTAAAGTGTGTAATCAGTAAGTACGTATAGCTCATGTTCATGGCACGGTTTCTGGCGCGACAAAGAAAGGGAATTAGACTACTGCTCCCGACAGGTATTCGCTCATGCAGCGATGCACACACTGACCTCTGTGCAATAGAACGACTGTACCGAGTGCGATGAGTAGTGAAGATACTCGTACCAGCTGCTGTAGTAGTGGCCGGTGTAGTGTCGGAGCAAAGTCCTCCTTGTGGATGTTGTGGTTTTACTCTTTTAGTTCAAGCTCAGGATGGTAGCTTGGTTGTGAGCAGAGCTGAGTGGAGGTCGAGTCGAGACAGCTCTGGCAGAGGCTCTGCTGAATGCGGCAAACTAGCTCTGCGGTGGTATACTTGCGGAACAGTGAATACCCCGAACCGTAACTGCTGCATCTACAATCTACACGCAAACAAAGACCCGAAACTTCGCGCGTCTGCAAATCCTATTTTCGTGTTGAAAAACGGTTTCCCTGCTCCCTGATACCGGTACCACCACATTATCCTTGTTCCTGCCAACATGCCCCAAGTGGGATGTGAAATATGAGGTCCATGCAGCATTCACCTGTCTAGAGCAGCTTGCGGCCGTGGTTGGTATATGTCCATCTGCAGCATCAGTGCATCAGGCACACGCGCTATTTTTCGCAACAGTCCCGTCGGGGTATTTTGTGGGAATGGTTTGAGCGGATCCTGTCAGCTGAAAAAAGATGCTGATCTCTACACACACGTTTCTCCGTCTTCCCAGCGGCTAATCTAACATGTTGCCACCGGTCTTCGCGGGGTAAATCATATGTACTCCTACCTTCCACCTGGATCTCGCTCGCCCTCCAAGACTCGAATCGACAGCAGCAGTGCATGAACGAGTATTTTGGTTGGTGCGTTGCACGGGTAGACTGTCGTCGGACCCATCGTCAAGTCAAGGAACAGTTTCGGTGCCGCCACAGCCGGTATCGACCCTACAGTAGTCGCCTCACACCAAACCACGTCAGTAAGCACCGCTCGCGGGAGAAGGGAGACAACCGCGGGCACCGCAGGGAGGGAGTGCTGCACCCTCCTTGTCAAAACACCACAGGCAAGAACCGAGCTCTGCAGAGATGGATTGATGCGAGGAAACTCGCCGCTCGGAAAATACGGAAGAAAGCACACCCGCAACGCGAGGCGGACCGACAGAGACACGAGACCGCAGCGGCCGTCAAGGCGGCTGCGAAGAAGGAGGCACGAGAGGGCGACCTATCGTTCGACACGTTCAACGTACGCACGCTTGCCCACAGCGGTAGAAACCCCATCGGTCACAACGTGATGACGGTCACGGAGATTTGTTCCGCGACCGGCTGCTTTTGTGGAACGGTCGGTGCGGTACCTGTTTTCGTTTTCTTTTCATCGTTTTGTTTTCTTTTTCCGAGGGGTTTGTAAAGTGGTAATTTTCAAGGACCCGATTTTGGTTGTCCCTCCATAACTTTTGACTGAAAACGAGTAAAAGAAAAAGGAAAACAGCTTCGGAACGCCCGCGGCAAGGCGCAAAAGAGTAGCGAGTCGC